GTGATCAATCCTTTATCATTAATGTTGTGTGCAAAAATGTTCTCCCAGTTGGTGGGGTTTCTCTTTGTTTTTGTTATTGTCTCTTTTGCTGTGCAAAAGCTCTTTAATTTGATGTAGTCCCAGCTGTTTATCTTTGCCTTCACTATCAATGCTTTGGGTGATGGGTTTGTAAAGATGTCTTTGATGTGCAAATCACGTAGTGTTTCGCCTATATTTCCTTCTATGTATTTTATGGTTTCAGGTTTTATGTCTAGTTCTTTAATCCATTTTGAGTTGGTTTTTGTGTATGGTGTGAGGTAGTAGTCAAGCTTCATTCTTTTGCATGTAGCGGCCCAGTTTTCCCAGCACCGTTTATTGAACAGACTTTCTTTGCTCCAATGCATAGTCTTTGCTCCTTTGTCAAAGATTAGTTGACCATAAATCTGTGGGTTTATTTCTGGATTTTCTATTCGATTCCATTGGTCTGTGTGTCTGTTCTTGTTCCAATACCATGCAGTTTTGATGATTATGGCTTTGTAGTATAGCCTGAAATCTGGGAGTGTGATGCCTCCATTCCCTTCTTTTTTTTTCAGGAGAGCTTTGGCTATTCGGGGTTTTTGGTGATTCCATATGAATTTCATCAATAATTGTTCTATTTCTTTGAAGAATAACATTGAAATTTTTATTGGAATAGCATTGAATCGGTATATTGCTTTTGGTAGGATGGCCATTTTAATAATGTTTATTCTTCCAATCCATGAGCAGGAGATGTCTTTCCATTTCTTTGTATCTTCTTCTATTTCTTTTAACAGTGTTTTATAGTTTTCTTTGTAAAGGTCCTTTATCTCTTTTGTTAGATTTATTCCCAAGTATTTGATTTTTTTTGTTTCGATAATAAAGGGGATGGTTTTTTTCATTTCTTCTTCTTCAGATTTATTGTTAGTGTATAGGAAGGCTTCTGACTTTTGCGTGTTGATTTTGTATCGTGCCACTTTGCTGAACTGATTGATGAGTTCAATTAGTTTTTCTATGGAGTTTTTGGGGTTCTCTATGTATATCATCTGCAAATAGTGATAGTTTGACTTCTTCTTTTCCTATTTGGATTCCTTGTATGTCTTTCTCTTGTCTTATTGCTCCGGCTGGGACTTCCAGTATTATATTGAAAAGCAGTGGTGAGAGTGGACATCCTTGTCTTGTTCCAGATCTTAATGGAAATGCTTTCAGCTTTTCACCATTGAGAATGATACTGGCTGTTGGCTTGTCATATATGGCCTTTATGATGCTGAGGTACGTTCCTTGTATCCCAAGAATTTCAAGGGCTTTTATCATGAATGGGTGTTGCACTTTGTCGAAAGCTTTCTCGGCATCTACTGATATTATCATATGGTTTTTATATTTGTTTTTGTTGATGTGTTGGATAGCGTTGATAGATTTTCGGATGTTGAACCATCCTTGTGTCCCTGGAATGAATCCTACTTGGTCGTGGTGAATTACCTTATGGATACACTGTTGGATTCTGATAGCTAAAATTTTATTGAGGATTTTTGCATCAGTGTTCATTAGGGAGATTGGCCTATAGTTGTCTTTTTTTGTGTTGTCCTTGTTCGGTTTTGGTATTAGTGTAATGTTGGCTTCATGGAACGTGTTAGGTATTATACCTTCCTTCTCAATTTTTTGGAAGAGTTTGTGAAGGATAGGCACCAATTCGTCTCTGAATGTTTGTTAGAATTTTTTGTAAATCCATCAGGTCCCGGGCTTTTGTTTTTGGGGAGGTTTTTGATTACCATTTCAATTTCGCTAATTGTAATTGGTCTGTTTAGGTGTTCTATTTCTTCTTTATCTAGCTTTGGGTGATTGTAGAGTTGTAGGAATTTGTCCATCTCCTCTAGATTGTTGAACTTGTTTCCATATAACTGTTCATAGTAGTTATTAATTATTCTTTTGATTTCTGCTGCGTCCGTTGTGATTTCTCCTCTTTCATTTATTATCCTATTTATTTGTGCATTCTCCCTTTTTGCCCTTGTGAGCCTGGCTAGGGGTTTATCTATTTTATTTATTTTTTCGAAGAACCAGCTCTTGGTTTCATTGATCTTTTGGATTGTTTTTTTAGTTTCAATTTCATTTATTTCTGCTTTGGTTTTTATTATTTCTTTTCTTCTGGTTTTGGGGTTTTTTTGTTGTTCTTCTTCTAGATCTTTGAGCTTCGAGATTGGGTTATTTCTTTGAGTTCTTTCTTGTTTCTTGATGTGAGCATCTATTGCTATATATTTTCCTCTTATTACAGCTTTTGCTGCATCCCATAAATTTAGGAAATTGGTGTCCTCCTTGTCATTCAATTCAAAGAATTTTTTCAATTTCTTCTTTTATCTCCTCGTTAGTCCAGTGGACTTCCAGTAGTGTGGGTTTCAATCTCCACGAGGTAGGAGAGTACCTTGCCTTCTTTTTATGGTTTATTTCTAGTTTGATGCCTTCGTGGTCAGAAAAGATGGTTGGTATGATTTCAGTCTCGGTGTATCTGTTGATGTTTGTCTTGTGCCCCAGTATATGATCGATCCTGGAGAATGATCCATGTGCGCTTGAGAAAAATGTATACTCAGATTCTTTTGGGTTTAGTGTTCTATATACGTCTGTTAAGCCCAAGCACTCTAGATCCTTATTTAGAGCTTTAGTGTCTTTATTTATTTTTTGTCTTGTTGATCTATCCATTGTTGATAGTGGTGTGTTGAAGTCTCCCACTACGTATGTGTTTTCTCTGATGTCTGTTTTCAGAGATGCCAATAGTTGTCTGATATATTTTGGTGCTCCTCCGTTTGGTGAATATATGTTAATGAGTGTTATTTCTTCTTGAAGTATTGTCCCCTTGATCATAATGTAATGACCACTGGGGTCTCTTTTTATCTTTTTAAGTTTGAAATCTGTTTTATCTGATATGAGTATAGCTGTTCCTGCCTTCTTTTTTGGTCCATTTGCTTGTAGAATTGTTTTCCATCCTTTAACTTTGAGTCTATTTTTATCTTTTGCAGCTAAATGTGTTTCCTGGAGACAGCAAAAGGTTGGGTTTTGTTTCTTAATCCAGCCTGCAACTCTGTGTCTTTTTATTGAAGAGTTTAGTCCATTTACATTTAGAGTTAGTATTGATATGTTAGCATCTGTATTTGCCATTGTGTTTGTCTTTCCTTTGGTTTTATATATTTATTCTTTTAATAACTTTCTTTGGCCTTCTTTTGTTGTTATTCGTCCCTCTGAGGTTCTGGCTTTAGGACTCCTTGTAGTATTTTTTGGAGTGGGGGTTTAGTCGTAATAAAATTCCAGAGTTTCTGTTTGTCTGGGAAGGTCCTTATTCTTTCTTCAAAGAGGAAGGAGAGCTTTGCGGGATAGAGTATTCTTGGTTGGCATCTGTTTTCTTGGAGTCTGTTGACTATGTCCCTCCACTCTCTCCTTGCCCGTAGTGTTTCTTCAGAGAAGTCTGATGTCAGCCTGATTGCTTTTCCTTTGAATGTTATCTGTTTCTTCCCTCTTGTTAGTTTCATTATTTTTTCCTTGTCTTGGATTCTTGGGAGCTTTACTATTATGTGTCTTGCTGTATTTTTCCTTTCATCATGGAAGTTTGGTGTTCTTCTTGCTTCTTGTATATCAATTTTCAGCTCCTTCTTCGCATTTGGGAAGTTCTCTTTATTATATCCATGAATATTTTCTCTGTTCCTACATCTCTCTCCTCTCCTTCTGGGATTCCTATAACTCTTATATTTCCTTTCCTCATGGAGTCAGATAGTTCCCGAAGTCTTTCTTCGGTCTTTTTCCTTCGTACTTCTCCTTCCTTTTCTGTTTTAGTTCTTTTTATTTCTGTGTCTTCAAGAGTACTTATTCGTTCTTCCATTTCATCTATTCTGCTTTCATTGCTTTTCCCAGAGTTCTTCAGCGTCTCCATTAATTCTTTGATCTCCTGCATTTCTTTTACTTCCCTCTTTAGGGACTCAATTTCATTCTTCTGGTCATTAATTATTTTCCCCTTATCTTTGTTTTCCTTTATGACTTCTGTCAGTTTTTTAATCACAGCAATTTTAAATTCTCTATCTGGAAGGCTCAGAAGTTCTTCCAAGTTACTGTCGTTACAATCTGGTAGATGGTTTTCTTTTTGTGGTGTGCTATTTTGCTGAGGAGTTGCTGGGTTGCATGTGGTTTTTCTACTCCCTACTGCCTGTTTTCTAATTTGCCGTATTCCTTGTGACACTGTGTTGCTGGTACTGGCCGGCACCTTGGGCGACCTTCCCAGCTCACCACTGGCTCCTCTGGGGAACTTCTGCTGGGTTCACAAGTCTCCAGCAAAGAAAGATCCCTGCTGCAAAATGGTGATGCAGGAACGTGCTCCCCTGCACGCCCGGTCTGCCCCAGTGGTGGGTGCTGCTCCCCTCTGGGCTGGAACTGCAGGCTAGAAGCCGCCCAGCATGGGCAAGCCTCCCAGCTTACCTCTGTCTCCTCGCTGAGCCTTCTGCTGGGTTCACACAGTCTCCAGCAAGAAAGGTCCCTGCTGCAAAATGCCGGTGCGGGGACGCGCTCCCCTGCACGCCCGGTCTGCCCCAGTGGTGGGTGCTGCTCCCCTCTGGGCTGGAACTGCAGGCTAGAAGGCGCCCAGCATGGGCAAGCCTCCCAGCTTACCTCTGGCTCCTCGCTGAGCCTTCTGCTGGGTTCACACAGTCTCCAGCAAAGAAAGGTCCCTGCTGCAAAATGGGGATGCGGGAACGCGCTCCCCTGCACGCCCGGTCTGCCCCAGCAGTGGGTGCTGCTCCCCTCTGGGCTGGAACTGCAGGCTAGAAGGCGCCCGGCATGGGCAAGCCTCCCAGCTTACCTCTGGCTCCTCGGTGAGCCTTCTGCTGGGTTCACACAGTCTCCAACAAGAAAGGTCCCTGCTGCAAAATGCCGGTGCGGGGACGCGCTCCCCTGCACGCCGGTCTGCTATTTGGGTATTTAAAGAAAAATAAAAACTAAAAAAGATGGAAAGAATTTAGACAGATGTAATTTACCTTAAAAGTTTCCTCTTTTTTGCTGAATTTTCTAGAGTCCTGTGAAATTTTGTCTGTTTCTGGGGTGTACACAAAGTGGACTCTGTAGGGTTCACTCTTGGATTTATCAGTCTTTCCATAAACTGTCTTCTATCTGATCCAAAATCCATATGATATTTGTGAGAGGATTCTGAATCAGTGAAAAAGACATTCTTTGAGCCATCTTCTCTTTCACTATCTGAAGAATACTCCAAAATTTCTGTAGACCTTGTCTGAAAAAAAAGGAATGCAGTTAAATTTGGAGAGCTCTTTATTCAAGTTCACATTAACATGTGGATATTATTTATTGCCTGATAATTATAGTCACTGAAATAAGTTTATAAAGATAGTATCTGTAGTTAAAACTTAATTTTGACACAAAATCCAAAAGTAATCAAGCTGAACACCCAATAAAAAATGATTAAACCAACTATAACCCAGATATTATCTCAGAGTATCCAGTGCAAAACCCAGTACAAATGTTTCAATCTTCCTTCAGTAAATTAAAAGAAGTGTGCCATATATATATAATAAGTCTTCAATATTGAATAACACCAACTTGAATGATTGATGATAGCCACTATAACCTAACACCTATTGCCAAAAAAGTATTCTTATTAATTTTGAAATTTAATGGGAGATAAATAATATTCACTACATGTTATAAACCAAATATGAAGAAAATTATCTCACTTCATTTACCAAAGAAGACTCTAAGGATAAAGGATAGACTTGACTTCAGCACAAATTCCACATAATATTTTCTAGAGGCTAATTTGAAACTGCTAATATTAATAGGGGAATACTTAAGAATATAAATCACTTTATCTTTTTCCTAACATTTACTAAAATGTTTCTCCTGATCAAATTTCTTAAGTACTAAAAAAGAGTTTTTGTGTGAAAACTGTATTGCAAAACACAAATTATATCACCTATCTAATCCTGGTGAGGAAAATCAAAACATTTTTTTCTATGGTGTTTTCTGTCTTTGCCTAGACAAAGACAAAAATTTAAGTGTGATAGGCATTATATTTTCCCACTAATTGGTTTTGCAGGTTAGTCCCATGTTGTTCTCTTGTCAGCAACAATTTATCTTTCAACATTCTAATTTCTCAGTGTATTTGTAGCCCTTCTTAAATCAATACTTATGCTAAATTGTACATTTAGCTGAATGGATATCTGTAGCTGGCTAATTCATAGTGTAGACATAGGGTCCCTGATGAGGAGCCCTGTCTTTGATAGATTAACAGGGACTGTGTTCCTGGAACTACAGCAGGCACTTGGTTGAAGATAGAAGAGTAAACAAGTTGTAGGGTAAGGTAAAAAATCAGGCTTTTCTGCCCTCCCACCATCAGGATAGATGAGGGAACCCTGTGATCCTGAATGCATGACTGATGGCGGGCACCTGAAGTGGGTACACCTGCGCTAAGATTGTGCGTTTTAAGGGCGGCGTCAGGGAGACGCCAGTAGAAGCAGCAGAAACCAAAAGAGAAGCCGAAAGAGAAGAAGCCCGAAGCAGAAGCAGAGAACGCCAGAGAGCCCAGATAGAGTGAGGATTTGCTGGGGGCTGGGAGGACTGCCAGCCTCCTGGCCCCCCAGCACCCCTGCCTGCCATATGCTTGGTGAACCCCAATAAAAGACCTGCAAAAAACCACTGAGGACTCTGACTCCTCCTCCACCCAGTCTGCATGGGATCAGAAAACCTGCACTGTGTCCTGTTCCTGCCCTTACACAAGTATATGAGGTTTATGGCTTATGGGCACAGAAGTGTGTATACACTTTTTATGTGTATAGACTAGCAAAGAGTTTTCACTATTTGCTAATCTTCATATGATAAAAGTTTACCAAATTTAGCCTTTTCTCAGGATTTTATAATTAAATCCTTTTTAAGAACTTAATCCATTCCAACATCTCATAAAAAAAATTGCTTGGCAGTCAATTGTCACTATGCCCATTAAAAATTAAAAAAATGAAAAATCTTCTTAAATGAAGAACTTAGTTCTACTATCCTTTTCACAGGGTCCATTACATGTCTAAATAACTACAGGCAGCTGTTAACCAATTAATAAGCATTGGAATCACGTTTCCCTTTACGTAGCATCTGAATAAAATGCCACAAGATGGGCCAGAGTAGTTTATTTTGAAAATGCAGTTAGACATTAAAAACTTTAGCTCAGGGCCTCCCCTGGTGGCGCAGCGGTTGAGCGCTGGGCTGCAAGGCTGCCAGCAACCTCTGCAACGCCGGTTCATTCCCTGGCCGCCGGCAAGGGTCCCACAAAAACAAAAAACAAAAAACAAACAAAAAAAAACCCAACACTTTAGCACATTACATGAGAATTCCAAATTTAATTTCTTTTTTGTTGTTGTTGTTACGTGTTTTCTTTAATATCCTTTACTTAATATCCATTAATATTCTTTAATTTCACACAGAAATCCTAGAGGCCAGATTTCTCAGCCGCAGCTCTCTTGCCGTCTTGGACTGAATACTGTGGTGGGGGCTTTCCTATGCATTCCAAGTTTCTTCAGCAGCACCCCTGGCCTCTACCAACTGGATGACGGCAGTACCACTTCACCAGCCATGACCATCAAAAGTAACTCCAGATATTGCTAACTGTCCCCTGAGGGGCAAAACTACCTTCAGTTAAGAACCACTGTTGTGGGAAAATGTCAATAATCAACCATACTGCAGCCTGTGCTTGGCTACTCACATACAGAAGGGAAAGGGACACAGGTCTTTTGGAGGGTGGCGAGGTCAGTGGGAAATTGTTATAAAGCAATGTGGTAGTAGTACTGCAAGCAAAGTGTTACTCAGGCTCCATGGAGAACATAGGAAGATGAACAAAGCCATGTGGAGCACAGACAGAAGGGAAAAAGGAAAGCACTGAATCAGTATCTGCGATTTAATGCTGAATACTAAATATGAGTTACTTAAGCAAAGAGAAGTATATTCTGGCAACAAGGCACAGGAAAAACAGAATATGAGGTCAGAGTAAATAGCATACACAGAAAATCTTATAAGAGCATCAGAAGATAAGGCTGTAGAAGGACCTTACATGCAGGACATATGTTTTATTCTGAGGCTGGGGGGAGCCAGAAACAGACAGCACCCAGACCTGAGGCTGGGAAAGTAGATAGCTATCAGACTCTTCCATAATTAAACCAAGATAAAGAGAATATGAGAGGTAGTGGAGGTAGAGAGGGCGTTATAACTGAAAAAAATGGGGGAAAAGATATACAAAACTTGAGAATTCTCAGATGTTAGAAATGAAAGTGAAGATAGAGTCAAAGAATACCCCTTGCAACTGGTTTCAGCAATAAGTAAAGAGAGATACATTTATCAATAAAAGGAACTAGGAAAGTACATCTGGAGAGAGGTAGTCACTGACAACTAAATTTGTTTTTGATATATTAATATGATGGCTATGGAATAGTTGAGAAAAACTAATAGACAATAGCCTGATGGGTCTGGAGTTTTAAGAAATGAAGTGGGATGTAGATACAACTTCAGGAATCCTAAGAAAATGAAACAGTGTGTTGGGCAGTATCTGTGGAAATTATGCAAAATTAAGAAATAAATGTCCAATGGAAAACATTGGGAATATCATCAATATTTACACTGTATTCAGGTGACAAGAGAGAAAGGTTTCAGATTTGAGAAAAGACATTGTAAAGATACAAGAAATGCATGAGATCTTAGAAATAGCATGCTTTGAAGAAAAAAAAAATATTGACAAATGGTAAAGCAACTCTGGAAGGGAGTTTTGTGGTTTCTTACAAAGCTAAACATACTCTTACCATTCAATCCAGCCATCACATTCCTTGGTATTTTTCCAAAGTAGTTGCGCACATACATGCACTGGTGTATGTGCCTGGGATGAAGATGGGGAAGGGGGAATCAAAAATAGGTCAGAGGAGACTGCAGATTTATAAGATGAAGTTTACTTTTTTTACCTTTATATTGTAGGAGCAGATTAATGAGAAATAATGGTTGTAAAGTTTAGGAACAAGAAAGACTTGGTTTTGATCACAGTTCAGCTGTTTTTTGTGACTTGGACAAATTACTTCACTAATTCTCCTATTCCTCAGTCTAATCATCTAAAAATGGAAAAATTCAGGCCTCCCCGATGGCGAAGCGGTTGAGCGCTGGGTTGCAAAGCTGCCCGCAGCCTCTGCAGCGCCGGTTCTATCCCCAGCCCCCCAGGTGAGGGTCCCACATGGCATGCAGACCTCTCCTGCCACCCTCTGCTCCCCTCAAGAGTGTATTTCATCAGTCTGTTTGTTCTGCTCTCTGTTCTGGCTCTGGTGAATTCTGTCACCTTCCCGCGCTTCTGACTGTACCCAGTGCATGTATAAATAAATAAATAAATCTAAAAAAAAAGGATTTAAAAATAAACAAAAATGGAAAAATTCTAAAAATATTACAAGAGTTAAAGATAATTAGTAGGGGAAGGCTCCCGGAGGAGCCAGAGGTGAGCTGGGAAGTTCGCCCATGCCAGGCCCCTTGGCCAGCAGTCCCACCCCAGAGTGGGAGCAGGCACCCATGGCCAGGGCCTACCAGGCACGCTGGAGAGTGCATCTGTCTCCGAATCGCCATTTTAGAATAGGGACCTTTGTTCAGTAAAGTCTGCTTGAAACCTGCAGAAGGCTCCCAGAGGAGTCAGAGGTGAGCTAGGAAGTTCGCCCAAGCCAGGCCCCTTCTGACCAGCAGTCCGAGCCCAGAGGGAGAGCAGGCACCCACAGCTGGGGCAGATCCAGCATGCTGGAGAGTGTGCCTGTCTCCAAATAGCCATTTTAGAATAGGAACCTTTCTTCAATAAAGACTGTTTGAAACCGGCAGAAGGTTCCCGAGGAGCCAAAGGTGAGCTGGGAAGTTCAACCAGGCCAGGCCCCTTCAGGCCAGCAGTCCAAACCCAGAGGGAGAGCGGGCACCCAAGGCCAGGGCAGACCTGGCGCACAGGGGAGTGCGTACCTACACAGCCTTTTTAGAACAGTGACCTTTCTTCAATAAAGACTGCTTGAAACCTGCAGAAGGCTCCTGAAGGAGCCAGAGGTGAGCTGGGAAGTTCGCCCAAGCCAGATCCCTTCTGACCAGCAGTCCAAGCCCAGAGGGGGAGCAGGCCCCCACGGCAAGGGCAGATCCAACCTGCAGGAGAGTGTGCCTGTCTCCAAATCACCATTTTAGAATAGGGACCTTTCTTCAATAAAGAATGCTTAATCCAGCAGAAGGCTCCTG